TTGCAATATTCCATACTTTGCTTTGAAATCACGTTTGTAGAGGAATATGTTTATTATTGCCGTTCTTACTGATCTTGCGATGGTGTGACACTGGATTCCTCAGCAATCGAGAAGGAGGAAAACTAAAAGTTATTTTCATATAACACATGAGTTTACAGACAAACAAATATTGTTTTGCTGTTCACAGACAAACAAAACTTGTTGAGTAATGATCCTCTTTTGAAACATAATTTATTTTCGGTTTAGGTTACGACCATTTCGGAGGTATGTAGGATGTATTGATTATCGCATGCAGTTTGTTTTCAAATTAGACAATATTAATCCATATCTATAACACGAATACTAAGTATATTTATTTGTGTGAAATAACTTGGCTTTTGCTTAAATGTTTTATCGTTGTTTTGAACTAATGTATCTTAAATATAGACCTTAAACATAAATGAGCCAAATTGACAAAAAACCTATTACCATTCAGACTAATCAGTGCACAGACTAATTTTTACCACAATTTTTTTGTATCAAGCACTTACACATGACCAATCATTTTAGCTAAAAGCTATAGTGATCTTTAGTCTTTATATGCGCCAGTTTTGCAGGTGGATTAAGTTCGATGTAAAATCAAACTCATTCCAGGATCTTTTGAAAAATACTTTTACCTAGTTTAGCCACCTGAAATTTCTGGATTTTTAAGCAGGAAAGTTGAATTTTAATGTATTGTAGAAATGGAATGAGGAAATAGATGAAAGTTTAGAGAAATTGTCTCAATTGATTTTTAAATCACCACAGTGGACCAGTCTGCAGTGAATATTTGCGAGTCATCTTGAGATAAATGAATGTTGTTGAAAACGTTATCTATCAATATTAATCTTCCTATTGTCTTCTATAATCGGTAAACAATTAGTTTACACGTTTTCGAATCCATTTTTGCCGGTTTAAGAAACGCTCCTCAGTTAATAGGCCACTAAAATCTAATTCTAGTTTTGACATATCAAAGAGGTTTTAAGCTGAAGTAATTTCAAACAAAGTAAGTACATCTAGCCAAAGATCATGAAATGGTCGTAAATATTTTAGCTTCGTAGAAATTTTTCGGTCTAGGGTTTCAACATTATACAGTCCATTAGTTGCACTTTTTCTGCAAGTACAATGTACATGTCACTGACGAGAACATTCTTACGCAATTTAATTACCCAATTTTTGTATGAAAAAGTGTAATAATATTAATGTTCCAAAGGTCTTGCATTAAGTCATCTTCCATCGAAAATATATTTTTTCTAGGCTAGGTAGGCTTCATCATTCAAGGTAAAACTTCATCTTAACAGGGTGATTCAAAATTGGTGTCATTTCTCCGGGGGTGTTTTGGGAGAACAAGAATAATAATAAAAAAATATTCTTATTAATAACTGAGATATTTGCAAAAACAGATCAGAAGGATGACAACAATGTTTTTCAAGATAATCTGCCTCATTAACTTACATAAATACCTGTTAATTCTTAATTATTTCAAACTGTAGTAACCACTGAAACATAAACACAACAAAAGGGACAGTGGGAATTAAATATTTTGAGGTTAGTATAACCTTGTCACTATTGTCGGTGAGGGCAACGTTTTTGGTTTAAGAGTGGTATACGCGAATCCGCCATTGGGATGTTCTGTGCATATGTTAACACCACAAACAACAACAACAAATAAAACACAATTAAGTTGTTAAATCACATGAACTGTTTGTTTAACTCCAAACATGTTTGTGCCCCATCACTTTATTGTACACTCTTGGCGGCAGTCTGGGCCCACATTTTGAATTTTTCTCGTTTCTCGTATTGGGTTAATTAACTACTGTTCAATTTGTACCGATGTTGAGTAAACCAGGTATTTAATGTGTCCATGTGTCTTGTCTATCTTACATACGTGGTAGGAATGTTTCCTCAGAACTAATCGCATATCCGCAAATTCGTGAAAGTAGCTTCAAAGTAAGTCACAGTTTAACAAATTATTGTTATTATTGACAAAGGCTATCTACCTGTAACTATATGCTAATGGCAAAAAACATCATTGCCGCTTTGACTTTTCATCAAAAAATTGTACAAGAGTACTTTTGGAATATGAAAAATGTTTGTAATTCGAAGTAAATATGTCAATTTTTCTTTTCAAATGCTTAAGTATTTCAATAAACAACGTCTCAAACATAGGACCTTTTCAAAGTAATAATTAATAACAACGTTGAAATTCCATTTTCAAATGTTAATATCTTATAGAATTTTTTTTTTCAATATGTTTCTCGTATCTACTATTCAAGTTAGTCCCTATCATCCCTTAATAGGAATGACGCCAATTTTGAATCACCCTGTATTATTTCAGATAATATCTGAACTCCTTAATGCGCCTTAGTTCTAAATATATTCGATTTTTAAGGTCATGAACATCATTCGGTTCAGTTTTATAAACTATCGTTTTTGAGTCCAGAGAAATAAGTCCAATGTTATGATCAATTCGGACGACCTTGGCGGCCACCCCTCCTAATCTATTTTCCTCGTATCAGAGAAGATGCACGATCTTCTTGAAAACGTAACTTTTATTTATTTAGAAGAATTCCAGCTTGATCTAATTCTGGTTCCAATCATGTCACAGCTTGTGGGTGTATTACATTTTGTTAAAAATATAAAATCCCATTCAATTTATCGCCGTCCTATCACTTCATTTTCAAGAAGCCAACACACATTTTTTTTGGCCGCATTGGGTAACATTTGACATTCTTTAATCACATGTGAATTTTCAATATTCCAACATCGACAATTATTATTTATCACCAAAACCGTTGATGTAAAAAAAGGCAAAATAGGTTTTTTTATAGCAAATATTGTACATTGTGACATAATCATATTTACCACAGACCCGGAACTTCTATAGTTATTTCATTTATAAAAGTTATTCTCTAGTTTGTCTATATTTTATTACAGAAAGTAAGCTGAATTATTCAAAATTTATGTTATGGTAGGAAATGGTCGAATTAAAATCATAGACATTTTAATGTATCAAATATAGTTATTGAAGTGACAACTTCTTATGGCACGGTGCATTCCCGAAATTCGTTACGGCGCCGTTGTTCCTGTCATAAATAAAGACAAGTAGCTACGCATTTCCGTGCCTTAGTTGGCCGCATTTCCGTGCCTTAGCTTCCGTTCCATTGGGCCGGTCGTACTATATAATCGTGTGTAGTCTGTGGCCCGGTCGTGTGTATTTAATAGTCTGCAGCCTGTGGGCCGTTCTCCTTTGGATGCGTTTTCGTCCGAACTACTTTCGTCACGAATTGTGCGAAAAAGATCGAATGATCCAATTTCATTGCAACGTGCTGAAGCGCATCCACTACAGTATTATTTCAATTCAATCATGGCCCATTACATCCGAAATCATTCGGACGAATCGTTGCGATGTTCGAACTTGATACTGCGAACAAATTGAATTTGTTCGCAGGATTTCTGAATGAATTGCGAAAATGTTTGTGGCACATCGAGTTGAACTGAATGTTGAAAAACTAATAATATGGAGTCTATAAGTCTCATACATCAAAGAAAAGATTTGTGGCATATGAGCGAAAAATCATATCATTCAGATCTATAAATGATGGAATTCTCCGAATTCTTTTCGTTTTGCTAATATATCAGTAACACAATAGTTTTTTATTTTTAACTTTATTCGTTTTCTGACAAGATAACTATTTTCCAAATAGTTATCTTGTCATTATAAAAATAATTCATTATTATTAACAGTGGTATGATTACGCTGATTTAATTACCTTGTGTATAAATGTACTTTTTTGTTAGATAACACATAACTGACAGGGGCGGATTAAAGCTTTACGAGGCCCGGGACAGAAATGAATATGGCCCACTCAAAAGCAGTAAAATGTGCATATTTTTTGAATATTTAGAGTTTTCGGGGTCCTTTCCAGGTTGGGGTTCGGGGCTACAGCCCCTGCTAGCCTCTCGGTTTATCCGTCCCTGATAACTGACAAATTCGTGCGATGAAAAACTTCTAGGGGACAATACCCACATATGCGAAATCTGATCAAACTATTCGTCCGATTTATGACGAACTCAGTTCAGTCGAAAACGCGTCCAAAGACGACCGACCATAAAGTTCCAGTTTACTTGACCGAAACTACCATAAAATACCACTCATTCTAAGTGGATATTTTATTGATACTTTTTCTTCTAAGCGTAAAATTTAATGTTATTTCTTTAATCAAAGTTACAATTAAAGATGGTAAATAATACAAAACAAACAAGCATCGAGCAAGATCAAATCGATTGTCGCAATTCGTTCCTTATTACAGTTATCATAAAAAAATTGCCACTTTTGTAGGATTAAATAATGGTAACGTACATATTTTACATTCAAAGGGAAATTAAGTTCTATTTAAATATTTCTGATTCATTTATAAATTATTAGTCTAATAAGAATATTGAAATTATAAATTGATATTGCCATCATGCGTTAAACAAGTCCAATATGTTATGGTTTCTATAAATAATATCCAGCTATCACTTCTGAAGAGCGTCCCGTGACGCACAGTTTATATTTTTAAGGAAAGCGTTTTACCTATTTTGAGGTGGAACACAACCTATATGTAGATGAATGAATATTAAATCATGGCTAACCACCTGATAACTTGAAAATGAAAGTTTGATAAGGGATATTTTATTTATAAACGTTAAGGTTAACTTCTTTGGACAGACATATAACTATTTTACTAAATTGTTCCTTATTGAAAAAATCTTATTTAATTTTTTATCTGCCAATATTTCAGCATAATCTTCTAAAATGTTTTCGTAAACTGCAATCTATTACGATTGTTTGAAGTAACACGCACCTCTTAGTGTACCACGTATATTTCCAAGGAACTATGTTTGAAATAATTGCTATTAATAAATTAACAACTAATATGACTTTTTAAACGAGGGAATTGCAGTGATAAACACTAAGCTTTTTTCTTTTGTTGCAGATTAATATTGAAGATTTTAGCGAATTCGAAGACTGTGACGACGACAATTTCGAAGACGAAGATGAACCGCCTAGAAAAGTAGTGGTTTCGTCCAAACGCGTGTTTAAGCCATCACAAACCAACACCAGCTCGCAGGACTCTCAGGGTTCGTCAGATTCTTCAGCTTCTGATATCAGGAAGCCAACGAAAAAGCATAAAGCGCCTCACAAAGTGCCTAAAGAAGATCCCGAAATTATAAGTCGCCTTAATCAAATGAACAACGCACTGATTCAGTCGAATAAGGCGAAGGCTACTTCTACAGTTCCGACAAGCGTGAGCACAGTACTTGGCGTACAGAATAATACTTCGATAGTCTCCACTGGTTCTACTGCACTTTCAATACAACGGGCATCATTAGTTACTACTACGAAACCATCTTATATTGCTGCAAAGTTACCGGAAACTGTAAAAAGTGTACCAACTTTACTTGTGAAAACCAACAACGGGATAGCATTTTCCAGTATTCCCGACGGCATGATTGTTAGAGTGATTCAGGGTGCTCAATCGAACTTGGTAGCGCTGCCAGTCAATTCGGTTCTCGCTAACGGAGTTACAATTATAAAAACTCCTGAAGGGCGGTAGGAAAGTTGAACAATCATTGTTTTTACAGATTAACCCAAGTTACAGAAGCAAATTACGAAGTTAGATACTTTCGTGCGCTTCAAGCGTCCATTACATGGACAGAGAACGAGCCAAAAGGATTCTGCAAATTGATCGTGGAGAAAACATGTTTGTCTTCCAAGGCAAAGTCAGCATTATTAGAGGAAAGGCAGCAAATATGGGATACCCATTTTTTTTTGTCTTATAAAAAAATTAGTGACTGTTGGGTACATTCGGTTTTGATTATTCAATACAACGATAGCTACATTAGTTAGTCACAACCTGTGATAATTTCACATTTATTAAACAAACTAGAAATTGAAGATTTGGGAAAAATAGTGAAAATATGCATTTGTGTGTCAGTTTGAAATTGGCCCTAAATATGGGCTACCCCCAAAAACGTGTGAAAAATATTCGATGTGAAGTGGTAATCAATCTTATTGATACTGATAAGTTCTATCTAAAATTAATAATTTATTAAATAACTCATAACTATATTGTAATTTTACATTTAGTACTTGCAAAAATCTCACACCCACAATCTTGTTTTTCGGCCCCAGCGCACTCGTTGTGGGCCCACAAATTGCATATCAGGCACTTGACCCATATTTCACCGTAGTTATTCTCTAACAAAGGGACTTTGCAAAACATACAAGTTACATCATCTGTGTTTTGCATAGTCTAGAAGTCAGAAAACTCATTGTAATCGCTATCATCGTCTGCAGGCTTAAAATTTTCCTCATCGTCGCTGCTAGAACTAGAAGTAGGGTTTCGATTCTATTTCTTTTGACTGATAGATACTCTCAAATTGTGATACTTTGTGGCTTGGAGGACCTGCTTTTGTTTTCCTTTTTCTCTCTTTTCCCTTTTCTTTTCTTCTTTCGTTTTTCCTTATTTTGGGCTTTATTGAGAGATTCCACAAACTCATGTTTGTAGGGAGAATAGGTTACCACTGAGCACTTACTTGGCTTACTCCCACGACTGGAGGTTTTTTTCTGCAAACAAGGCACATGAGAGACATGATAGCAATGATTGTCGTATAGATCCAGATGTGGAAGGAGCTGATGGGCTGCAATTCCCAAATAACTTTGTTTTAAAGGCTGGTTTATCTTGGTGTTGTGAGAGCCCAACTTTGGAGACTTTCTTCGCCTGAGTTTACTTCCCTGGCAGGTGCACAAGATCCTTTAGAAGGCGTGTTGATCGAATGATAAAATTATCGTATCTGGGAATCACAGAATTTTCAGACTGATTTTAATTGATTGCGCTGGGAGACCGCAGCATCTCATTCTTTTCATTTTCAGGTTGATTTCAATTGGTAGCGCTTGGAGCCATCAGCATCTCATCCTATTCATCAGTAGTGTCACTAGGTATGCAGCTCGATTTTTTTCCCGCTTCAATCTCAGCAGCAATGAAATCGGAATCCGAAAATATATTTTTAGTTAAATGCCTGTTAAATTATGCCTGTAGTTCGGAATCCATTAACGGCAAGAAGCTCAGAGACACCGGATTCACGTGGCGTATTACTTACATCATTAGCTCTAGCCAATTCTATGATCTCTATATTACGTGTATGGCTGTAATGGCCATCCAAAATCAGCAGGACTGGTGACGTTTTACTGTGTCAATTAAATTTTTGGATCCATTCTGCAAAAATATTACTTCATCCATCCACTGGGATGAACTGCCATAATGGAACCTGGGAGAGCTCCTTGCATCAATTGTTGATTCATGTTTTGCGGGGAAATATCATCAATTGGTGAGATGAATTGGCCAGCAGCGCTCATCGATGCTATAAGAATTATTAAGGATCTTCTTCCAGCGGAAGTTATTGATGCTATTCGTGGATGCCCTTTTTGTACAAAAACTTGTGCAATCTTGTTCCGTACAACCATTAGACCTGTCTCATCAACATTGAAGATGCGTTCAGGGGGATAAAACGTCTTGTTGTGTTCTTCTAGATCATTTTCCTAGTTGAAGTCTCTTCTGCGAGCAAATGACGTTCCCGTTGGTCGTTGTACTGATAGCTCTTGATGGCTCTGCCAAACATGTTGCCTCCAAACGGACGCCTTACCTCCTTACGTCTTTTCTTGTTAATCCACGAAATTTAGCTTCCATCTCCAAAGTATAACGAACTAACTCGTGTTTTAAGTAATTCCCTAAGATAGCTTTACTAGTTTTGTTTGGGCTGCTTTAATTGGTTCTAGCTCTATTTTTCCAGCAGAACGTTGCAATGTCGAACGTGGGACATTAAATATTTTTGAAGCTGTGAGGGTACCCATCTCATGCTGCCTCCCGGGTGTTATAGCGCGTTCCACGTCCCCCTCGTCTCATATTTTTATTTTTTTCTTTATTTGATAAAAAATTATTTATTTTATTGAAATTTTCTTTTTTTTTATTTGACTTTGTACCGATGTTTGTTCGACATTTTAACAAAATATACTTTAGGTTAGTTCTAAACATGGACCACCAGGCCATAATACAAACACAGGGGTAGCCCATATTGCCAAAATGGTTTAAAAAAAATGGGACGAAAACTAATGCTTGATATGTCGCTTTAAGCTGGTGCAGAAATGGTTTGGAAATTATTCTTAATTTTCTGGTAATGACATTTATAAACTAACCGGAAAAAGTTGTTTGACTTTGAAACCGACAAAAACTGAAAATAAACTGTCACACGTCTACCGCTGTAGTGTCATCTCTATCGTGGAATATTAACTACTCCAGTTACAGTTTGTGACAGTCGGATGCAGAAAACTGCATCGGACAACTGAGAAACCCACCTAGCTCATATTACAAGGCTAGTCCATATTTGCTTCCTTTCCTAGTGCTCGTATTCGCTTATACTCAGAAAGTGTGAATACTAAGAGGTATCCTAGGAACATCAAAATGGTTGGTAGATCATATATATTTAAAAAAAAAAAATTTCTACAGATAGAAAAGCATACAAAATTATAGTGGATACCAAGCCACTAGAATAAAATGTATGATCCTAACCTCCAATGAAACCTGAGTCAATTACTCAAAAAAAACAATAATTTATATTGAAAAAGTTTATATTAAACTGAACTATAGATAAGCAATCAACGATGTGCCTTCTTTGCTTATTAATGCCTTGTATTTGAGGCTAAATGACTTTGGTTCGATTCAAATTATATGTCGCTACTTTAAAGAACCATCTTAAATTTCGATAATTGGTACTGTGTACCAAAAATTTCGAAAAAATGTTCGAATATTATTTTATTATTTTCTTCATAGGAATAATATAAATATTTGATCCCGAATGAACCTGAACAAGTTGATTTTTCTCAACACGAATATATTTAATCGTAAACATATTTATCATAAAGCCAAATTTTAATTGCTACTAAAAATAGTGTGGATTTTCATTGATAGACTTGTTAACAAGACCTCCAGGTATTGATGTGAATGTGTTTAGATTGAGCACATTATACATGGTGATTCGAAATAACCAGATATCAAAAATCTAATGCCTTCTGTTTTATTTTGGCAAGTAAGCAAGTTGTTTTGCATTTAAATTAAAATTGAAGCAGCATATACTAGGCCTGGGTAACACTGTGTTGAGTTGTGCTTTTTAGTTGTTGCCGCTATCTGAGTTGATGGGTTATAACTCATTAATGGATGAGTTATAACTCATTTATTAAAGTGGATTATGGTTTTCCGAGACCCGAGACTGGAATTGAACGTCTTAAAAATGTTATCAACATTTTTGATGAGTAATGTTTTCCCAATTGATCAAACACCTAAAAAAGGTCAACTAAGTTTTTAGCTCATACTTTATAATTTAAGTAACGTTTTCCCAACAACGAAACTGGGTTACTGAGCCGAAGCGTTGAGTTGCACCAAGCCATTTGCGCAGCACTGCGCCAGCTCCTAAAAATTCACTCAGTTATTCAGGCCTCAGATCTACCTGTAAATCTGCTGGACAATGGTAAGACATTATAAAATATTCACTGTGCGAGCTTAAAAAATGAAATGAAACACAAGGTGCTCAATTTGAATAACTGAAAATATAGATTTTATGTTAAGACTCTATTTTTGTTGTTGATGACATCATAAAACAAGTATTTTCTGTAATACGTACACGTCGATCCAGAAGAAAGTTTTAAACAAGTAACCCAAATCTTGAAGCATATGCGCGCTTGCACCGAAATCTTCAATTTCCTGACAGTTTATGTGAGGTGTAACTATCCACGTTCAAGGGAAAACTAGTATAAAATATTATACATGGTGTTTCAGGAGGAATGTAAAGTACATTAAGGCTATTATCTACAGTCTACTACATCTACATCAGTTTCGAAGATGGTTAAATGAGCAAAGAATTGTAGTTTTGAATACTCTACTTGAAATCAATTTTGCCTTCTAAAAAAATTATTTTCTAAAATTGAACAGCTGTCAAGATATATTTAGATAAAACTAACTTATGGCAGATTTTTAAATGACTCCAAGTTCCGTCAATGTTAATCTGACAGGAAAACATTCAATAGAAAAGTTGTAGGAAATTTAATTCCAAACAAAATAGCATAAGGCATTTCTACAAAATAACTGTCCCTTTTGACATATGACACACACTTAAGTTTTTTTTAATGACAACCATATTTGATTATTCCTTTACCGAATAGAGCATTTTATTACGATTTCAGTAAGATATCACGTCGTTAGGTTTTTCAAAAATAAAGTGCCTGCTAACGATTATTACCTTTTCAATTTAATTGATCGAAGCTTGCCATGGAAAATAGTATAAGGTACACAGCATTGTTTCCATCGGAGCGATTTAAAAATCTGTCATAAATAAGTTTTTTTAATATCTGTTGACAGCTGTCAAATTTTAGAAAAATTAAACTGGTTTCGAGGAGAGCATTCAAAGCTTGAATTCTTTGTCCATTTAATCTTCATATATTTATATCCCAAATCAAAATTAATTCCTGGGTTTCAGTCATTTATTGTCTTTATTTATCAATTAAAATACGTTTCGGTGTATTTTTCCACCATCATCAGTTTTTCTAAAATAACATAGTTAAAAAAAACAATTCATTAATTTAAAAAACAATCACAGTTCGTCAACAGCCTCATCATATCACACATTAAAATACATCACAATTGCAACATTTTAAAACATTCTAAAATTAATTAGGCCTAACAGGTGATTAGTCAGGACAATCAAATTTGGGAAGAGACTAGAATTCTTTGTTCAGATACTTAAATATTTTTCCTTACGCGTGTAGCGTTGTTGCTGCTTTAAGCCTTGGCATACATTTGGAGTATTAATTTTGTCCATTTTGGACACAAAGCGAATAAAATATTGTTTATTTTGATTTCTTTTACTTTCAGCTATTTTTCTTTGAATTCTGAGAATATTATTTTTGGTTTGCAAAATTCATCAATATACCGGGTGTTAGTTAATATTCTATGTTTATTTCATTTAATTAAT